ATAATATTGCTAGCATTTTTACGATGTTGCTCACGAAATTGTTGATCTGCACGGATAAGGGCAATTAAAATTAGTTCTCTACGATCTTTTACAGCAGTTAGAAGAGGTGTATCTAAATCACGACTACAGATGTTTACGTCAGTGGTTTCATGCTTTAAAAAAATCGGGGGGAAAAATGTAAAGTTATTGTTATAAATGTATCTAGTGACTGGGTAAGTAGTTATAACACTAAAACAACTCCACTGTATTTATTTATGAAAACAAACTTAGCACTTTATGGGCACCTACAGATGCGAAGGCTGCGATAGTGCTCGGACATTTAGGTTGAAGCAGATGGTTGTCTTAAGGAGCTGGTTATCCCCCGCCGAGTTTCTGATATGATGCCTGGTCCACGATGCAGTCGAGCCACGCTTCCATGGCTGCCGTTCGATTTTTTCAGATTCTGGAGCCCGTGCACAGGTTTGGTATCAGGGTTTTGCGAACCTCTAGGTAGGCTTATATGTCCACCAAGGGTTGTAAGCGTCAGAGGTTCGAATTCACCCTTCCACTATTGTGAGGACCATCCCCACTGTGTGAAGGTAATGAAGGACTTATCTGGTGACAGAGGCTTCGAACGTGTAGCCGCATGAAAGCATTTTGAGGGGGAGACCGAAGTCTATACACCCACTGCCGTACCAAGTCGTGAAAAAAACGTAACTGGGGTAGAATTGTGTTCTACATAGCAACTTGAGTAACTTAAAATAGGATATTCGGAGGTAAGAGAGACAAAAACTAATTTCAGTGACTGATATATCTCAAATCAACATAGAAACTAGTCCATTTAAGAATTCAAGTGTGCCAGACCTTAAAGGATAGTAAAAATCTATTGCGATATTAATAATACACCCAATAAGCACAGAAATAGGTATAAAAGTTAAATTGAACCTTTCCTTTTATATTACTTTCAATATGCAGAATATTTGTTTAGAATTCGCACTGGTAGAACAGTGTAAGAAGTGATAGGAAGTTTCACTTACTTCACAATGTCATGCAATGCCTGGGAGGTCAATTCACCAAAAGCACATATGAAATTAAGAATACTTAGATTTTAATAGTTGACCAAAGATGGCTATAAACGAGAATTGATCAGAACTCTTTATTCCGGGCTCAGAGAATATACTTTACAAACAAATTAGATTTTTTGTTTTTCAAAAAGATGTTGGAAAAGTAGGGAAGATGTGAAGGTTTCAGTACCAAACAAACCACAGTGGAAAAGAAGCCTATTTCCATACAACTCAATTTCAAAGGTGATAATATTGCAGGAATAGTCAACAGAATATTGAATACCTCACTAGCCAAAACATATCCTACAGCTAAGTTGATTCCTGTGTATCGGACGACGTGCTGTTTGGTGCAATCAAAAGTAGACAGATACCTTTCTTACGTTAGCTATAACTGTGTGTATGCAAATTTACATTTACCTGCCGTAGCAATTATATTGGGATAACAGAAAGAAAGGCATACCTTCGGTTTTCTGAACATGTACCAAAGGGCTTATTTCTTGAGGGAAAAAACGCTTTCAAAAGTGCCATCGCCAGGCATCTCGTCTATACGGATCGTGAGGTGGACACCATGAAATCCCGTAAAATTATCGATAGACAATAGAGTTCACTTTTCTTTAAGTTCATCGAAGCAATGGCTATCAAAAGCCTGGAACCCAATTTGTGTTCAGAAAGAAACAGTTATCGGTCTTTTCTTGTTCTGGTAACTCGATGTCTCAACTCTCTATTTTATCTAACTACGAAATCTTTGGTTTCAACTTCTTCTCCTTAACTACAACGTAATTCTGCTTATCTTTTGATTCTGTGATTTCAGTTGAACTCACCACATTGTTATTCAACTTCTTAGTTACTTATCATCTTATCCGCCTCTTGTCTTTATTACGCATCTCCTTTATCATTGTATCCAAATACTTATTTTTGTCTTGTTTGGGCTTGAACCGCCTGTGTACAAGTTATGTTTAATTTCCGAACCTTGCCAATTCATCTTAGAGTCTTCTGTTAATCGACATAATGTCATATTTGCAAGTACGTTAAAGTTGCTCTGCAAACTTAATTTTTCAGGCTGTATGCAGTTGACAGAATAAACGGCGGTATCATGTTATTCTGTACAAATCCTTGGTTTTGCTTTATTCAGAAGCTGACTTTGACATTCCACAACAATTGAGACCCGCAGTCCTTCCTTAAGACTAATAGGATATCATTTCAGCTAACTATAAAATATGGACGTCATTTAAGTAACATGAGATTGGGAAGTGTGTTTAATAAGATAAGTGGGGGCAGGGGAATAAGTAATAAAGCAAAGATGCTTATCCAATTGCATCTCTCATTTACTACAACCGAAATTCCGTACATTTTATCCTAGAAAATCAGTCATGAATATCATTAGGTTGGACACAGAAGCCATTTCATTTGTGTACATCAATCAGTCCACACAGTCATATGGAACCACACATAAAAATATTTCGATGTGTTCTGTTTCACAACTTAGAAAACACCATCAACCCTAGTTGTAAAGAAGTCCCTTAAGTTCCTTCTTCAGAAGTGCAACAGTTAGGGACTTCATCAACACTCACAGTCGACTATACAGTGAGAAGAAATTCACTCCAAGCACTATAAGTTGCTATGAAGAATAGAAATTGAAATCAACGATCTACTGAATGAACTTCAAAAAACTAACCAAATAGCTCCTTATTCAAAATTCATTTGGGAAGTCTTTGAGTTTGCTATTTGTTATGGTTGTTATGTTTTTTGAATTTCTCAGGCTGTAGCAATTTATGTTATACTTATAAAAAAACAAAGTTAAGTATGTAACGTAGGAGAGGTTTAGGGATGGGTCAGTCTGGGATCGAAATCCGGACTAAGTGTGTGGCTGGCGACCATTCTATCACCGAACCAATGACGCACCTCAGCGACCACCTTATGCTTAGTTGTGTTTCAATACCCCCAGCCGATCACCAGTTATTTTAACACATTCCAGTGTAAGAAACAATTGTGTATGACAGGTTCTTACATATTTATTCAATCAATCAATCACTTACTGCAACTAAGACTTCAACGATTTCGACTGATGCTCGATGCAGTGGAGCCAGGCCATCATCATCTAATGTATTGGGATTGGCATGATATTTTAGGAGAATTTTAGCTGTATCAACGTACCGCTGAGCAGTTTGATGGGCTAGTAAATGTAGGCAAGACTGTCGACGTTCAGTGAGCGCAGATACAGAAGCACCGGACCGAATAAGAAGTTCAGCGATATCTGCACGACCAAATAAACTTGCCTGAAGCAAAAAGAACAGCATGGTATTTTTTAAAGAAAAATTTATCAAGGTGAACAATATATCATTTAAATACATCCAACTATGGTATGTATGTTTTATCCAACTGACAAAAAAGTTGTGAACTACAACTGGAAATGTGAATCATCAATCATGTATGTGCATTCACTTACTGCTGATTATTCTATATTTTATAGAACACATTGTGTAATACAATATCGGTAAATGTTACTGATGACTATTAATACTATATCTGACTGATTTTCAACATAGAACTTAGAAGAGAAGTGCACCAGTTCAAGTTGCCACATTACATGCAGCACACAAAGGTAGGGAAAAGAGAAAAAAGGAGTTCGAAAGAATCACAATGAGCAGCAAGGATAGTAACATGGAAAAGTATGAGAGTTTAATGGATATGAAACACACCATAAAGAGTGAATACATCTTCGCCATTGGGAACGATTTTGAGCCATGTCTCCAGCCATTGGTTCTTGGCATCCCGATGACTCCAACTAGGCAGACTATAATACATCAGTGATATATATATATATATATATCACAATAAGTTCGTTAAATATAATTATATTATATTTGATCTATTTCACAATGCTTAAATTTCTTACTGACATTGAATCGCTAAATATGCTTCAGTAATAATCGGCATTAATCGGTTTACAAACTTTACATAGCCCTTAATTAACGAGACTGTTAATTATGTTCTGTTTTTATGGTCAACCAAAAAGCAAGAACACAACAAACTGACTATCAAATGGTCTGAGAAGGGACAAATGTTATCCAGTCTTCTAGAGATGTCATGCTGATGAATACTGATAACCGACAAATTAAGTTAAGGCTTTTTTACCGAGTGACTACTAACAATTAACACAACCAATAAAAATCACAAGGCAAATAAACTAAGCAGAGAGTACTGTAAATTATTCCTGCAATTTAATGATAATTGACAGACAGGATTGCATAGCAATTATGCACAGCATGATACGCTACTGACATATATATATAAGCTTATCCTCGAAACATTTTTTATGTACCAGGTTAAGAACCAAACTTGTCGTGTAAGGGCCGGTGATACTACCCAGTAGCAAAGACTGAAGCAGATGGAGTGGGACAAGAACTCGTGACCCATAGGCTGAAAACTGAGTGTTTAAGCCAATGAGCCACATTTTCAGGGTGTATATATATAGCCAAACAAACCTAAATTTTTAAAATCACCATTTTAAAAGAATAAGAAAGAAGGAAATGTTGGTAAATGTGTCTAATGAGAAAATCAAGAAACTTGATCTAAAGATCAGTAGTAGTCCACATTAGTTCTAACACTGTACAACTGATTTTCGAGGACAATACAACCCAAAGGGATAATCATTCCTAGTACAACCGACTAGGATCACATTAAAGTGGCAAATATCGACTACGTAACAAACATGACGTTGAGCATGACACACAGAAGATGACAGAGTACAGTTTATCAGTTACATTTACATGAGAGCGATTTTTTGTTAACCGCAGATTCTTCAGATGGATGCCACGCTAATAAGACGAAGAATCTTCAAAATGATCATGAATAACTGGCTTCTAATAGAATTGTTCTTAGCTTCGTGACCAAGCAAAACTACTTCACTTTTCTCATCATGCACCTTCTATCACCCAAGATATCTGCCTTACGTAGTTGGCAAGGCAGAAAGTATTGATTTGCTTTTATTAACCTCCATTATTCGTGGAGTCAAGGAAATATTCAAATGCTCATTGTGGTAGTTGGTGGTGAGAATTTCCTATTCAAGTCATATTTGCATTCACAAAGGTTGTTTATTGTTTAAAAAAATATCTGTAAACATCCAAATAATATAGCGCGACCACTAGTCAGTATCATCGGCGAGCATTTGTCCTCACATTCTACAAGCCATTAATCTGATGCCCACTAGCGACTGGCCCTTTTCAGGTAGGTAGTTACCTGAGTGGTTTCTAGGGTGAAGTCGTGACCACTGGGGTAGAGCGGGTCGGGTGTGAGGACAGATACTAGCCGATGGACATTGGCTAGTGGTCACATTATATCGTGAATTGGCAGAAGTTGGAATTCACGGGCCATTGTGTCGGGTCCCAGTGATGTAATGGTCTACGAGCTCGCCCTGTAACCTGAAGGTCCTGGGCCCGAATCCCGGTAGATTTGTCCCAAACTAAGACGAAACAGCTGCCCAGTACTTCCAAGTTTTCCAATGGTTCTCTAACCGACGTCAGCTCATGACGAAATCCTGTAACCAATCAAATAAAATCCCTGCAAACGGACAACTGAACATCCAAATAATACACAATAATCCACACAAACTAATATTAGGGTTTTACGGCTGTTTTACTTGATGAAGCGGATATCGAGGAGCGTCAGCCACGTAAATATCTGCACCTGCTTTGATAAGGATTTTGACCATTTGCAAATATCCCAATTCAACTGCCAGATTAAGAGGACAAACACCATCGATGACCATGCTTGGATCCACACCATTTGGATAACTGAAAAGATACTGCAGTGTTCCAACATTATTGCTTCTTATAGCTCCACGTAAAAGCCATGGGATCTGAGATTTGCTTATACGAGGCTTATGGCGCTTCTTAGAGTATCTGGCGCCCATTAAAACTGTAATGCAGAAGGTAAAGAAATCGATAGTAGTCAGTTGGAGAAATAACAGAATGAATACAATTACATTTTTCTAAATGTGTAAATGATATATATACAGAAACTAGTGATATAGACGGTGTCAAAAGCATAAATTCTTTGCGAATTTTCGCTGACAGTTTACAAGCGAATACACGGTGATAGAACAGAATGGAATAATGAATTTGAATAAAACTATTTTACAAAACCAACGCAGAATCACGAAGACCTATCTGGATAGTCCTGTTGCGTGCCGGTATTTCACCTCTTTAATAATCTTGTTCTTAAAGTATATTTTCATTTACTTCATGTTTAGTACGTTTGCCACTACGCACCAGTAAATTATACTCTATACAATTTGCAACCACGGGCTTGGATATTATGACTTACGCGAATGAGGAAACGTCTTTATCTCAGTCTCAAGAGCTGAATATTGAAATTTATTGACTAACCAGTGTTCTTTTTTTCAAAAATGGTATAGTTATGAGTCAACTCCAGCAATAGGATCACCGTAAACCTAAGAGCAATGAACATAAGCTACGTTTCGTGGGCCATAGAAATTTACACCGATGACTACTCAATCTGATGGTCACGTTCGATTAACGTTAAGATAAGGTATGTGCGTTGTTGAAGATGCATCGAAACTGTAGTTTACTACGTTTTTGCTTCAGAGGTATTATAACTGTGACCACTTTTTGATGCCCTCTGCCATGAAATCAGCTCAGTTCATGTAAACCTAACGTATTTTCCTGTTAATCTAATATTGTTGCCCAGGTTAGAGAAAAACTCAGCTGCAGTAATCCAAAACGACATCAGCGTTTAAGTTTGTAATAAGGCCTATTTTACCGAATAAAGTTAGTTAAACTATGTCTTTCCCGAAGCGATTAGTTAGTAGAGCACCAGAATTTACACCAAGCGGTACGTAAACAAGCTACTGACTTGTTAATAAGAATTAAATTAGCCGGGACGAATATTTCTGTACCAGACAGAGCTATACTTATTGATTATGTGATAACTGATAATACTATTGAGTTTCCCAGGCTGTAGAAAGCAAAGCGGCATTTCAGAAAGTCAAATGCTGATGTAACGAGTCACATCCCATGTTGGGGGTGAAATTAAACGCAAGGGATTCATAAATAACTGCTAGAATATATTCTACTTTTACATGGATATCTTCAATATGGCGTTTTGAAGCCGGCAACATCACAGGTACAGTTACACAGACCAATAACTTAGGCTTACACGAATACTCGACTGAAACCATGGCGTTAATAAGTTTCATTATAAGAATTTCGAAGAATGTAGGGTAACGGAAGCTAATGAATTTCGAGTCTTCCAATCATTCCACTATAAAAGATTTAATGTCGAAGAATGCTAAGCTCATAAGAAATTAGTGTCAATATGCTACAGTATCTCCAGTATCCAAAATCCTGATTACGAGCTAGTATAAACCAGTGATTTCTTTGAGCTCGCTTCTTGATTGTAAGGTAGAGGTTCCAGATCTTCGGTGAACTTATGCGTAGTAAGTCCCGCCACTCGACTGCCTTAGCTCTGGTAGACTCCAAGAGGAGTGGTGCGGGGATTGGTCAAAATGTGGTTTGTAGTATGCAGTATGTTAGGACTGTTGCTGCCGTGAATGGAGTTTGACCTAACTCGAGTTAAGGTTCCCGTTGGTCATTCGGTGTAGTCATAAAAGCAGAATAGTAATAATAATAATAGGTTGTAGTGTAGATTATATAGGTTGAGATAAGTGAAATAATAAAGGTGACCTAAGGAAAAGATAGAGTAGTCGGTACAGTGAGAGAAGACAGAACGGGTCGTGTATGCTTATTCATTGACAGTGTGGTTTTAAATGTTAAGAGGATAAGCTATGGAGACACAAACCTCGCATTTCTGCATGATTGTCCAGCTTCCGCTTAAAAGTCTCCACAGATGGCGCTGTAGTCACGGGCGCCGGTAAAGAGAGACGGCAAACTCGAAGCGAAAACAAATGTGAACGCACTCGAGTCTTTGATCTCTTGTGTGCTATCCTTAGCGGGTTACCTCGTGGAAGCCTATAACCACTTATGGCAGGACGCTTTTATTAGGGTGGGCCTGGTCATTAAAGATCTTATGGACGGTGATGAGGTCTCCCCTGTGACTACGGTAACTAAGTGTGAAAAGACTTAATTTCTTCAGTCTTTCCTCATATGATTTGTTGCGGAGGCCGATCAACCATTTTGTCGCTCGTCTCTGGACACTTTCTAGAATGTTAGCATCCCTTTTGAGTAGCGGAGGAGCAATGATATTATGCACCTCAAGGAGTGGCCTCACGTATGTCGTATACAACCTTAAGAATAGTTCGGGAGTAAGAGCTCCCAGCCGCCTATGCATAAAGTGTAAAGTTGCATAGGCCTTAGCGACGTCCCCCGTGTAATTTCCACTGGTGTCCAGCTTTTCTGTCAGAATAAGACCTAGATCGCACTCTGATGGCACACAACTCAAGTTCTGGCCACCAAGGGTGTAATTTACACTCTGTGACCTGCCGGAATAACGTTGCACTTCTATAGGTTGAAAGGCATTCCGTTAGCCAGAGCCCAGTCTCCCAGAGTTTGCAAGTCAGTCTGCAATCTGTCGGAGTCTTCCGATGAGTTTATTGCTCTCCAAATGGATTTCTCAGAACAGTCGTGCAGTAGAAACGAGAAGAATTTGTAGAAACGCAAGCAAAAGACGCATTTGTTCCAAGATGGTAGGATGTTGGTTGCCAGTCTATATGTAATCCGAAGGAATACGTGGATGCTTCTCTCAAGTCTCAAAAATTAATACTACACAAACTGGAATATCTGAAAAGTGAGACAGTTGGATATTTCCACTCGGATTGCACTTTAGAGCACTAGTTCGATTACAAGTTTTCATGATAAACGACATGAAAGAGGCATATAAGAGTTAATAAAATATCCAAAACTACCCTTCGGACATTGTAACGCAAATTTCCAGATGCACCGCGCGTTATTTTCAATATCCAATATCGTTTCAACGAGTTAGCATTAACCAATTTGGTTTCTGTGTGCTCGCCTCTTGATTGTGAGGTATAGGTATCTGATCTTCGGTAGCTCGTCCCACCACTCGACTGTCGTAGCTTTGCTTGACTCCAAAAGGAGTAGTGCTGGGGTTATTTATATGTGGTTTGTAGTATGAGGTGTGTTAAGACTATTACTACTGTGAATGGAGTTGATCCTTTCACCAGTTAGTCCTCCGGTATCGTCGTCAAAAGAAAACAGATAATAATAATTATAGATATAATTATTGAAGTTATTCAGACTAAAAGACAGAAAAAGAAATAAGAAAGCGTAACAACCGGCAGCTGAATTAATTTGAAGTTGATATGTATGTATATATATCGATAATAACGTAATAAGTATAGTTTCACTTTTCAGTAGAGTAAGACGGGAAAGAATGTAAAGAAGTAAAACGACAAGTTTATTCTCTACCCCTGAATGGTGTACAGGATTTTAAGGGGATAGGCCATTTGGACGCAGTCCTTGTGTCTCTGCATGATTGTCCAGCCTTCGCTTAAAGGCATCTATAAACGGTGACATAGCTACATCTGCCGGTAAGGAATTCCAGGGACGGCAAACCCGCAGGGAAAAGAAGTGGGAGCGCACCCGGGTCCTTGCCCTCTGCTGAGCGATCCTTCTGAGATTTCTACGAGGGAGCCTATACCTACTCAATGGCAGAACACCTTTGTTTGGGTGATTCCGGCCATTTGTTATCTTGTAGGCAGTAATCATGTCCCCCCTAAGCTGACGGTTGCTCAGTGTGAATAGGCCTAATTTCTTCAGGCTTTCATCATACGGCTAATTTTGGAGACCCACCACTCCTTTAGTCGCCTGTCTTCGGACTTCTTCCAAGAGGTTGGCGTCTCTTCTAAGCGGTGGTGGTGCAATAATATTATCCACTTCAAGTTGTGGTCTGAATTATTTTTTGTACAACCTTAGAAATAGCTCAAGAGTGAGTGCACCTTACTGTCTATGTTTGAAGTGTATGACCGCATATGCCCTCGCAACATCCCCCGTGTAATTTACGCTTGTGTCCATTTTTCCGTTAGAACTAGACTAAAGTCGCGTTCCGACGTTGTGCAGGACAAGCTTTCATTGCACGGGGTGTTACTTGCATTCTGAAGTCTACAGGTGCGTAACTTCACTACTTTGCACTTTTTCAGGTTGAAAGTCATGCCACTGGCCACCGCCCAGTCTTCCAGAAGGTTTAGATCTTCCTGTACCCTATCTGAGTCCTCCGAACACTTTATCGCCCTCCATATCTTTCCGTCTTCAGAGAATAGGAGAGTCGGGCAGCTCAGACGGCATGGTAGATCATTGATAAAAATCAAAAACATCAGCGGTCCTAGGATAGAACCCTGTGACACTCCTGATGACGAGCTGTGCCAAGATGATCAGACTCGACTGGGCCTAGTGCAAAATTGCCTTTCAGCTAGGTAGTACGGAAAAGCAAGACAAGCTTTCACTACTCTCAAGTCTGTGTGGATGTCAACAGCACTCAGCATCAAAAATAAGATCCGGATTTTCAACACTAATGTTAAGTCAGTCAGTGCTACTATACGGATCAGAGACTTGCACTGAGCGTCATAAAGAGCATCTCAAACAAACTACAGACCTTCATTAACAGTTGTCTTCGCTCAATACTCAAGATCAGATGGCCGGCCAGAAAAGATCAGCAACAGGGATCTCTGGGAGCGAACCAACCAGGAACCGATTGTGAAACAAATAGGCAGGAAGAAATGGAGATGGATTAGCCATACTCTGAGGAAACCATCAAGTGACATCACTAGACAAGCCATTGCTCGAGTGGAACCCGACCGAATTGGAAGCGGCGAGTTGGTCGTCAGTGCGAGGATGACATGAAGTAGGAGGTCGTGTGAAGAGGAGATGAAAGCATGTGGGCAGACTTGGAGCCAAGTGAAAACTCTAGCAGAGAACCGAACGCAATGGAGACGCGCGGCTGAAGCCCTATGTTCTTCTAGGAATTAAAGGGAATAATAATAGGTAGTCCTTTAACCATGACAGAGGTGGCTTACCTATACCTGCCTAGCTAATTTTGTGTAGGAGAATGTCATGGTGAACAGTGTCAAATGCTTTATCAAAGTCTAGGAAGATCACATGGACTTTAACATTCATATCCCAGCATGATGTCCAATCGTCCCAAGCTGATAGCACGTTTGTTACACAGGATCTGCCTTTCCTGAGCGGCGTGTTCTTCCTGCTATCCGCAGACACGTGGTGTGGGGCTGTGCCAGGGCGACAAATTGGACAGATTTACCAAAACCATGGGCATGGGTTATTTCGCGTAAACTCGTAGTATGATTTCGATACCCCTTTGTCGCAACGGCAGTGTACCCATCGTTCACAAAAATTGCATTCAAAAGCTCAGCCAGTTTTAGAAGCGATGACACTACACACCTGATATTCGTCTCCCTTCCTTGATGACGCTTTCTAGGTATTATGACTTTTTGAACGTTTCCTTTTAGGTTTGCTGAGTTCCACGCACTGGCTTTCAGTGAATGCAGGTGTAGTATCCTGTTCACCTGGTATTGCATGTGCTGTTTCAGTGCTAGACTGTGGCAATGCAGGCGTAGTATCAGAACAGACGAGAGCTACACTAGTCTTCAGGATCGGTATGTGGGAAGCGGTTGGTGTCTCAGGGGTTTCGCATTATCTATCTGAAGCCCTTGTGACTACAGAATATGATGTTTTATTGCTTTTTCCACGGCTACTATTAACAATCACTAAAACGTATGCTATAGACGAATAAGAGTGCAACAGTATCTACCCATAAGAAAAAGAATAAGACTGAAAAAGTACAGGACAAGGAAAACAAAAGGTTTCTGACTTTACCTAGTACTTTCTGGATGATTGGCTTCACTCCACTTCTTATGGGTCTGGGTGACGAGTAAATATTTGCGAATTTCACAACTTGGGAACGGTCTTCCAAGAAAGAATTGAGCCAGGATAACAAGGGATCCTGGAACCCGTACGACTTTAGCTTAATAATTAGTCTCTTGTGTGGGACTTTATTGAAAGCTTTTTTGAAGTCGAAGAAGAGAGTTGTGACAAGCAAACCATGATCACGCTTAGTAATAACATCATCGAAGTAGTCAAATAGGCAGGTGAAGCATGATCGACTTTTCAAGAAGCTGTGTTGTGCTGCAGTAAACACTTTGTGAAGGTGGAGGTATGAGGCAATATCTTGCCGAATGCCTTTTCCCATAAGCCTGGAAGCTTCTGACGTGATATTGATGGTTCGGTAGTTTTCGATATTAGAAGTTGGTCCTAGTTTGAACGACAGCCTCCAGCGCCCTGGGTAACTACCACTATTTAAGGGCAGATTGAAATCTTTAGGAGTGTAATGGGCATATCCTCACCACCCCTTTTCAACAGGATAGATGGAATTCCATCAGGGCCGGCATTATATGATGTCCGGAGGGATGCTAAAGAGGGGGAAATTTTTTGTGGGGTGAACGGTATATCACCCAAAAAGTGATTTGGTAGTGTCGGAACATCAAGACTACCTACTGTTTCTTCGTTAGTAAGGTAGCTAGCAAAGTGGAAGCTGAATAACTCGCATATCCCCTGTGGATCTTCACATAGCTTTCTTCCGTCTAATAATAAGTTAATGACAGTTATTCTGTTGTTGTTAATTCGTGATTTAATTAGTTTTACTAATGCCTCTGTATTATCGGGTCGTGAGTAGAGGATGCATTCTAGTTTGATGGACCCAGATAACTGATTAGATTTGTATGAATCATAAGTTTGCTTGAGTGTAATGAGAGATGAAAAGTCACTACATCTGTAGAATTGCTTAGCATGCTTACTCAGGCGGTTTCGAATCATTACGGGTATGAAGTCGGGCTGTTTAGGCCTCGTTTTCACCAGTCTTGCTGGAGCGATGAAGTCATGTGCAAATCCTAGGTTCTCATGGAGTAAGTTGTTTGTCCCTATAGCTGAGCTGCATGTAAAGTATGGCTCCCAGTCTAGAGTGAGAAGGTATGGTTTCAGGTTATCCCACTGAGCATGTCTGTAACCCCTGAGTAATAATTTGTCGGCGTTTATTGTTGAACTCATGCTGGTGTAAATATTGAATGTATCAAATACTACTCTGTGGTTGCAGCCAGGAAATTCTTCCCCTACTCGAAGGTTAGTGGGGATGATACCACTAGTGAAAACTAGATCTAAAATCTTGGAAAACCTGGTATGATGCTTTACATGTTGTTACCAGTCTTTTGTTTCTGTTATGTTCAAAAATTCATTATACCGTTTTGGTGAGCAAGGTGGTTGCCAGACTACATCAGGCATACTAAAGTCCCCGCATATAATTTTGGCCGTGTGAGGTAGTGAATTGGCGCAGGCGAACGTGCTAGGAAGCTTGATATTACCTTCAGCAGTTGAGCATGGGGGCGATAGATGCAGCTGATAGGATAGGAATCGGAGTGAGACAGCCTTAGAATAGCCCAGACTGAGTCGTTATCTGTGATGAGGTCTGGCTAGAAGTACTGTGTGACCTTAATATCAAACCTGATATACATAGCACATCCCCCCTCTACCATGGTTTCTATCACCTCTGAATACGTTTTTTTCCTTCACGTTTGTGGTGGACCTTTTGCTCTGTTAGCTTATTAACCCAAATTCAAATAGAAAAACAAAATACCGAATCAATTGAGTTTACGGGAAGAATATATTAAAGTTTTGTTACTTGGGTTTACAAAGATCCAAATTCCACAATAAACGTAATGGATTCCAGAAGTGCTGCGGGAAGACTGCTCCAGTTCTAATTCTCCAGTGTTGACGTTGCCGGAGGTCGACCAAAGTGCGTAGGAAGAGGCTACGGTGCTCCTGCAAAAATTCGAGATAGAAAGCAGGTTGTTATAATTGATCGACGGCAGTTGAGATGGTGGAGAAGACGGAGAGTCGAAGGCAGAATTATATATTTATTTAAAACTCGAGG